CATCAGTCTATCTAATTTTGGTTGAAGTTGTGCAGTAGGAACTCAGTAGATATGCTTTTCAGATGGCTAAACATGTGTACATGGACATGGCAGTGTATTTGTAGGCTATATCATTTAGAGAAAAAAATCTTTTCCAAAATAATTTTAAATGCAAATCTAATTATGTATTAAATTCTTGATTTACTTGGGTCATGTGCTGAACTTTCTGTTCTATTCCACAGATCTGTTCTGTATTATGTATGGCTGAGATTTAATGAAAAAGAGCAGAAACCATTACAAAATAAGGTATGATAGGAAACGGTACATAAATTTAAAAAAGAACTTTATGTGTATGTATGTGTACATGCCGCAGCGCATGTGTGGTTAGAGGACAACTTGTGAGAGCCAGTTCTGTCCTTACACCATGTGGGTTCTAGGAATCAAACTCAGCTCATCAGGCTTGGAAGCAAGCATTCTTACATGCTGAGCCATTTTGCCAGCCCCCAAATAGAATATTTAGAAATAGTTGTTGGTATTAAAAACTTGTTGGGGCTGTGACTGCAGTGTCAGTGGTAGAATGGGGCTTATTGCTTAGCAATGCAAGGCCCTAAATTCAATTCCCAGGTTCACAAAACCAACATAAAGTCTTAATATTCGAGTTTTTGCTGTTTGTCTTTATCAGGTGTGGGGTCTTCTTATATTTTTCAGATTCATGGTTCAAGAAATCCTCCTACCTTAGCCTCCCAAATGCTGGGATCACAGGTATCACCACATCCAATTTAGTGAAGTTAAATAAAAAGAAACATCTGACTATAGATCATATTTGGTATCATAAAAAAGAAACAAATATAATGTGCCTCCAGTTAAGCAGCATTTTTGTTTGAGTTGGATTTTTTTTTTTTTAAGTGGTGGTTATTTTTTGAGACAGGATCTCATCACATAGCCCCAGCTGGCCTGGAACTCACTATCCTGGAGGAAGCCCACTGGGGGTGGGCTTAGAGAGTTCTTAAGCCTTACCAGATTTCCAGTTGCTCTCTTGATTCCTGTGCCTGCCTGATGATGTGAGCTTAAGCTTCTGTTGCTCCTGCTCCAGTCACCATGCCTCCCTGCCATGATGGGCTGTAATTCCCCTGGAACCATAAGTTCAAATAAACTCTTCCTTCTATAAATTGCTTTGGTCAGTGTTTCTATCACAGCAACAGAAAAGTGACTAATACAACCATCATGCACCATTAAGGAGCATTCTTTTAAAACAATTGAACCTGGGGTTGGTGAGATGTCTAGTGGTTAAGAGGGTACCCTCCTCTTCCAAATGGACCTGAGATCAGTTCTCAGCACCCACAGATGGCTCACAACTGCCTGTAACTCCAGGGGATCCAACTTCCTCTTCTGGTTTCCTCAGGCACCTGCACTAACCTACACATACCAGCCTCCCACATACACATAATTGAAAATAAAGTTTTAAAAAATATATTTTTGTGTATGAGTGTATTGCCTGCATGTGTGAAAGTGCACCCACTGTTGTGCAATGCCCAGAGGTCAGAAGAGATCAGCAGTTAAGAGCACTGGCTGCTCTTGCAGAGGATCCAGATTTGCTTCCCAGCACCCACATGGTGGCTAATAACCGTCCATAACTCCAGTTCCAGGGATCTGACACCCTCTTCTGACCTCTGCAAGCCCTGTATGCACATGGTGCACATAGATACATGCAGACAAAACACTCATACACAAAAAGGAAAAAATATTTTTCTATTTTTAAAAAAATGAAGTTTTCCCTTTACATCATCAAATTTCCCTGTTTTATGAAAGTATTTGTATAACTGACTTCCTTTACTCAAGATGTAAACATGGTCCTCATCTCATTTGACATTCAGTTCCATCTCAGGGATTAAAGGCTTGCACCACTATGCCTGGTCCAGTATTTTCTAATATCTAGATTCCCTCTTCCATTATTTTAGATAGTCTCACTACACTGCCCAAGCTGGCCTTGAATTGCTAGGCTTCTGCCTCAGCCTCACAAGTAGCTTGGACTTCAGGCACAGACCTTATTTGCCTCCCTCCTGCATATTTATTATTTTTGTCTTTTTTTTGGGGGGGGGGAGCTGAGGACTGAACCCAGGGCCTTGTGCTTGCTAGGCAAGAGGCTCTACTGCTGAGCTAAATCCCCAACCCCATTTTTTATTATTTTTATTCTATGTGTATGAATGTATTGGCTGCATATAAGTGCACCCATGTCATGCAGTGCCACAGAGGACAGAAGAGGGTGTCAGATCCCCTAGAACTGGAATTATAGATGGTTGCTAGCCTCCATGTGGGTGTGGGAATTTGAACCCAGGCCTTCTGCAAGAACAGCCAGTGCTCTTAACCACTAAGCCATCTTTACAGCTCCCCAGCTAATTAAAGTAACTAGTTATTTTGTAGTTTCTTATGCTCTGGAGTTTACTGATTCTACTCCTGTGGTGTCATTCAACATGTTCTTCAGCCCACAGAACAGTACATTAGATCTCAAAATTTGATCAGCTTCAATTTTTTAAGATTATTTTTAAAATTCTGTGTATGAATGCATTGCCTGCATGCAAGTGTACCCTCTGTTGTGCAATTCCCACAGAGGTCAGAAGAGGGCATCAGATCCCCTAGAACTACAAATGGTTGTTAGCAACCATGTAGGTGCTGGGCTTCAAACCTGGGTTCTCTGCGAGAGCAGCCAGTGCTTTTAACCACTGAGCTATCTCTCCAGCCCTGCCAGCCCACAATTTCTAAAAAAGACTGAATTTTAGGGCTAGAGAGATGGGTCAGTGGTTAAGAGTATTTGCTACTCTTCCAGAGGACTCAGATTTAGTTCCTAGCACAACTCACACCACCTCAATCTCCAATAGCCTCCTTGAGCACCTGCACATATGGCATAAATATACTCAGGCCCACAGATGTAAGTATTTAAGAAAGTTTCATTCTCAGGTTGCCACATTTTATCTGTTCATCAATTAACAGACATTAGAGGTCCTTCTACCTTTGTGACTTATGCTGCTATGAGCAGATATACAAATACTGTTTGAAATGCTTTCAGTAGGATTGCTGGCTTATAGGGTAAATCTATTTAAACATTTTTGAGGATACGCCATACTACTTTCCATAGCAGGCCTACCATTTTACATTTCTACAACAGTGCACAAAGACCACAATTTCTTCACATCCTTCCAACACTTCTGTTCTCCAGCAGCCATCCTAACAGGTATTTGTGTCAATTTTGGGGTGGTGCTGGGGATTGAATGAAGGACCTCATGCATCCAAAGTATAGGCTCTACTACTGAGTTATGCTCCCAGCCCATCTTGAAACTTTTATCTATGGTACTAAGTGTTTAAATATCTGGATGTAGTTTGCTAACACACTCAGAAGAGTAATTTGCCACAGTAAACTATACTGTCAAATAAGTTTACAAGTTAGAAATAGTCTAAACATTGTCAGTTCAGAGATTATATGGTAACTGCTTTACCAAATATTAGAATAAAATGCTGCATTCATAACAAGTAACAATTCAAACTTGACTGGCAGATGAATACTTTATGCAATGACTTTACATATAGAAAACAGCATACTCAGTCATAGAAAAAAGAAAAAAATTTAAATTTGATACTGCTGAGGAAGCAAACAGTGAAACTATTGCTGACCACCGCAGGCAAAGGGAGGGTCTTGCCTACAATACTCCAAAGTCTTGAAAAATGTGGCCTTGGAGCAGGAGAGGCCTGCACATTCAGTGGTTAAACGTGCTTCCTGCTCCTACTCCATATACCCACACAGAGCTCCAGGGGATGGGAAGTCGTCTTCTGGCCTCTGCAGGCAGGCACACATACCTTTAAAATGTGGTCTCATTTCCTGTAACTCTTTTGAATGTTTATTAAGATTTATGCTGGCCTCTGGGCCTGGTGGCACACGCCTTTAATCCCAGCACTCGGGAGGCAGAGGCAGGTGGATCTCAGTGAGTTCAAGGCCAGCCTGGTCTACATAGTGAGTTCCAGGACAGCTGGGCTACAGGGAGACCCTGTCTCAAAAAAAAAAAAAAAAAAATTTGTGCTGATTCTGGGGCTGGAGAGATGGCTCAGTGGTTAAGAACACTGGTTGTTCTTGCAGACAACCTGGGTTCGAATCACATAACCCACATGGCAGCTAACAACTTTCTGTAACTCCAGTTCCAGGGGATCCGACAGCCTCTTGTCTTCCTCGGGCATTGCACGACACGGGTGCACTTACCTACATGCAGGCAATACATGCATACACATAAAATAAAAATAAAAAAATATTTTATTGTTTTAAAAAAGATTTATGCTGTTTCATGGTAGGTTTCTTTTTAAACTTAAAGATTTAATCTATCTTCTTCATGTGAGGAAATGAATCACAAAGAGGGTTGTAATGACATTACTCAAATTTTAAAAATTATTTTATGTCTGTTGTGTACCTAAGTTGTGCAAGGCCCATGGAGGTCAGAAGAGGGCATTGAATCCCTTAGAACTTGAGATAGATGGTTGTTTGCCACTATGTGGGTTTTGGGAACCAAACCCAGGTCCTCTGCAAGAGCAGTCAGTGCTCTTAACCAGAGCGCCATCTCTCCAGCCCCATAACTCAAATTTCTACAGTTCAGAGCTGGAACTAAAACCCAGATGTGGAAGGAGTAGCAGAATTCTCTCTGCTCTTTCAGCTGAACTTTATCAGATTTCTTATCAACCATCTTCAACCTCTTACAGTTGGAAGCCTATAAAAAAAAGTGATAGCCACTTTTGTTAAGACTAAAAACATCCTCTTACATTAATGCAATGCTCTGTGATTTCCAAAGTGCTTTCATGAGCACCATCTCTACATGTTGTAACCATGAGCTTCTGCCATACATCTTGACTTTTCCTGAATAAGAGCACTTTTGTTCTAGCTCCAACAGTTTCTCTCACACTGTTCTCTAATAAGAACAGTCTGTAATATTTAAATAATCGTGAGTTTCAACCAAAAGCAATCACAACTCAATTGGAAACAGATACACTATGAATGCAGGAACACTATATTTATTAGGTCAATAATTCATTTTTAGCAATACAAGTACAGAATATATCACAATGTTGGTTACAAACATACTTAGTATGATTTAACTGTTACAAATAATGGTGGGTACTACAAGTAGATGAGAATGATATGAAAGGTCATTCTGACCCAATGAACTGTTTTCAGAAATCTATTAATGACCTTAGATATTTCTATAGAAATTACTGTGGCACTAATAGTGGGGATTTTCCTGTAAAGGATGTTAGCAATTCATTTTTAATTATTCCATTAAGAGCCTTTTATTTTGAGCCTACTAAACTAAAATCCCCTGTTGCTTAATAAAGTATAAAAATAGTACTGACCTGGTAATAGTTAACAAAATGTAGCATTCATTCACATAATAAAAGTAGAACTAAATTGAAAAGTTTTAGTTACCATGGCAACAACTTTTTCCATAAAGGGAATACACAGAAATGAGTGATGTTACACAAATGGGTACCTGCAATGGTTATTTAGTGATCCAACAATTTGTGCACCACAAACCAAGTCTTCTAGATATCTATCTCTCTCTATATATATATAGCATATATAATCTTAAATTTTACTTTTGAAAAACATGTGCACTTCAATGAACTCACTAAGGCCACTCATGCTATAGATACCTAGGACTGCAATAAAGAATAGCAGTATTTAATAAATCCTAAAGCACACTCCTTCAGATCACCACCACGGTAAAAACCAGTTTCTGCTTAAAACATTTCCTGAGATTTGGGGGCAAAATAACTACTAGCGTTCAAATCTGGAAATTAACCCAAATGGTCTACTTAAAATGATTTTTTCCCCTTGTGACTTGAGGTCCTCTAAAGTCAAGAGGTGAAATAAGTGTTAATTTTTAAAGCAAAATAAAACTCTTAAAAAATTAGAAATTATAAATAAGCATTTTTCCAGTAGTAACATTACCATCCAGAAAAAGGTTAGAAGCAGCAAGGCTAAAAACCCTAGGAAAAAACATAAAAAGCAAGTGGTGGATAATAACACCTGCTACTCAGCAAATCATTCTTTCACTTTGTAAAGTTTTGGCTAAAAGCTTCCATCTTGTTTAGGCATGTGTTTGATGCTCAGCTTTATAGTCTGCACTGTAAAGACAAGCTTGATAGCACAACTCATGGTTTCTAAGACTGCAGCTGCTGCACTTATTTTTTTCTTGAGACAGGGTCTTACTAGGTTGCCCAGGCTGATCTCAAGCGATCCCCATCTCAGCCTCCTGAGTACTGGAGACCAAAGCATGTGCTACCAAATGTGTAGCTTTCTGTACTTAATTTTTGTAAGACTCTTGTTAGGGACTAGGAACAAAGGAGTTCATCAAATCCTTTACTTTCACAATGCAGAATACCGGGGCAGGGGTTACTACAAAGCAATAATGAGGTGACTTTTAACAAAGAACATAGATTTGATGGTAGGAAGGGGTCCTAATCCTCAAGGCAAGACTACTTTGAGGACCCATAAATATTATACACTAAAAACCCAGTTGGCTCTACTAACTGAATGTAAGTAGTCAGCTACCTGTGTGGCACATGCAAGAGTTCCCTGATGCCCCCAACTGGAGCAGCACCAAACTTCAGGAACAAGATTGGGTAGAAGAGAGAAGTCAAGGAAGGGTATGATCAAAGGCTCTTACAATTATGTGCAAGCTATTGATTACTGTGAGGTAAATTTTACTCTCTTTTTCCTTTTGAGTTGTTTGTTTGAGACAAACAAGTAGCCCAGGTTTCCTGGAATGCAAGATCCTCCTGCCTCATTCAGTCTCCTGAACACTGGGATTATAGATATGTGCTGCCACGCCCTATTCTAATGAGTTCTAAAAGTCAAATCAAGGTGGCATTCCTCTACCTTATCTTAAACATCCTTGCTAAAGGGATCAATCCTATACTTAAAATTATTAGAATATTATTTTTTTTTGCTAAAATCAGAACACATTAAGTCACATCACTAACATAAAACAGCAATCTTTTCTTAAGGTAAAGTGTAGGCATTATATCAACATTTATGGACTTAGAGAATACTATTATTAAAGCAATAGTGAGGGAGAAACTGACAATAACAAAGCTTGGAAAAAACTGGCCGCTATTTGACATCATCACTCTGTGATCACAAGCTTCTAAATACCATATTATTTTATCACTGAGAGTGAGTTTTCAAACTGAGTTAAGGAGAATGAGGCCTTAAGTTATTTGATTTTACAAAATGCTATATGTGCAAAACACCCCCCCCCAAAATAAAAAAAAAAAAACCATTAAATAAAAGTACTTCATATGGAAACATTAAAGTTTCAAAATATTTATTGAAAAACAATTTACCATGACATTTCTATACCACAAACATACCAAAGAGCTCTAAATACCCAAGAAAAGTATACAAAGCCTATCCTGAAAATATCTTTGGAGATATTACATATATAGGCCCATTAGGATAGAGCTGAGTAACTAAAATATGCTACTCCTTGGTCACATAGACTACTAGGGAATAAAGGGTGCCTCTTGACAAAGACTGCAATTAACTGGGAGGGGGACCAGTTGCATAAACTGCAAGTGTGCCAATTTATCCTTTCCAGAATTTAAAGGAAAAGTAATTCAATTAGAGGTCTAAACCCAGGTCTCTGAATCCAAAGTCATCTTAAGGTGTAGGCTTGCCTCATTTGTTTGAAAGCATCCCCTAATAAATTCCCTCCTAAGGACCTAAATGCACTGGCTTATAACTAAGAAGCCTGCAAATAGCAGTTTCAAAGTTAAAACCAGGAAAGTTAAAGTGTTTAAGATCAACTTTGAAATCTCTAATTTTTCTGTACTCTACATGATACTTTGTTTTTCCCCTTACCTGACATGCATGTTAAAAGAACACCAAAATTCGACACACATCCACTCACCCACATACTGCTCCAAGCATCGCTAGGAGCAGTATCTCTAACAGCCAAGTCATGAACCCCTGAAAATAGGGGAGAAACCCAGATTCTTAACTGTAGAGGCACCAGATGGGCCACTATACTAAGAATTGAGGTAACAGCAAAAGAATTCTTTTTGCTACACATCACAACTTAAAATTGAGTATTACCTCCATATTAAATAACCTGACTAGCTTAAACAAAACTAGAAGAAAATGAAAGCCCCCAATCACTGAAACAGGTATCAGAGGCTCTTTTCTACTTGACTCCTATATTTCAGATAAAACGACTAGATGCACTATTATTTACCACAAAAAATGATGGATTTTCTAAGACTTATTTTTGTGCATTCATTTTCCTTAATCCCCACAAACCATACGGTGACCTAAACTTCTCATTTGGACATGAGCTATTTCATGACACTTAGCCAGTATGTTTGTTTGCTCACTACACTGATTATTTGGGTAAAGATTAAAATGAGAGTGGTGGCTGCAACAGACAGTGACAAACCTGCTTGTGACATTGCCATCCATGTGCTTGGACTAAAAATTTGCCACTGAAATTGCCAAAATTCCATAGCTTGGTATCATATGAATATGACTCTTACATTACCACTTTTCATTATATATCTAAATGAAATTATTCTATTGATAAAGGCATAAGCAGAGACTAATAATCATCTAAAGCCTCTGGTCCAAATGTTACTTTCTACATTTGGCTGGTCCTTAGATCCTTCTGGTCCTGTTAGCAAATGCTTTTAGAACATTTACACTGTTGTACCAAAAACATATAGAATTAAAAGTGCTGGTCTATCAGATGTTCTGGTACTTACAGATCAACACTGGTCCAGTTCAGGTGAATCTGACAGTCCTTCCTTTGTAATAGTTCTGGAGTGGTTGTATCCACTTCTCTGGGAAAGGTGGCCAACTCTCCATCAGGATGTCATCCTGTTATTAGTACTTGTGTTTACTTCTCTATACTGCATATAAAGGTTTTTCTCCATAAAATTTCTTTACAATACAGTATTGATACCTCCACATGGAAGAATTATGTGTTAAAAAGTTGTTAAAATCATCCTTACGTAATAAGAATGCAACTCTTTTAAACTCTTAAATAGTTTTATTTAGGGGTTCTTTTTTTCTTTTCAGGCTTTCTGAAAAAATGAATTTTTTAAAAAGAAAAAGAAAACGATTTTCTGTTGTTCTACTAGGGTGAAAATGTGGGCCAGACTACTTATACATGCATTACATGCTGAATAGAACTGAATATATGCTTATTCTACAGAAACTGCAAGTAGGGATTACCGAAATAGGGTCTTCAATGGACTGGACCAGTGTTTCAATGCAAATTCCAGCCCCAAAACAACATGGTTTTGATTTCACAGTATGAATTCCCTAGAATCTGGGAAAAGGTAATTGGTTAGCTGAGGTTTCCTCAGCAGCTTGGTCCCTCAACATTCTGAGACATCAGGAAGGACTGCACCACTTCTTCAGTGGACTGGGGACTGGTGTTGACGTCTTCAAGGGCATCGGTCACTGAATACTGCCGATCTCGCAAACGGTTCCAGTTAGACAGAACATTGTGATATTCAAACACTTTCTCATAATTTCCAATGGAGTTGTAAAGTTTAATGAGGCCTCGGTAATCATATTCGAGTCCACTGTAGCCTTCACCAAACAGTTTCTTCCCTGAAAGTAACACAAAGAAATGAGCACTTATTATCAACATAAATAGAAGATTTTTTTATTCATGTTATCAATGTTTTCATGTTACAAGCCTTCATTCGTGTGTCTACAGTGCCCATTTAGGCCAGAAGAGGGTGTACCATCCACTGGAACTGTAGTTACAGACAGTTGTTAGCCTCCAGGTAGATGCAGGGAACTGAACCAGGGCCCTCTGCATGAACAGCTAGTGCTCTTAATTACCGAGCCAGCTCTCTAGGCCTGAGATACAATTCTTCTATCAATACCTCTTAAGTCACTCTCATCCATAAGCTATCTCTAGGACTTAAAAAAAAAAAAAATCATCTAAAGGAGTTGGCTTTACTAGAACTACACACACACAAAAAAATCACAAATTAATGTGTATGCTAGGCATGGTGGTGCACGTCTTTAATCCCAGCACTTGGGAGGCAGAGGCAGGCAGATCTCTGTGAGTTCAAGGCCAGCCTGGTCTACATAGTGAGTTCCAGGACAGCTGGGGCTACAGGGAGACCCTGTCTCAAAAAGACCAAAAAAAAAAAAAAAAATAATGTGTATGTGTGTGTGTACACTTGTGTCATAGCACATGTGTGGAAGTCAGAGGATAACCTGTGGGAATCCACACCTTTATCCGCACACTGAGCCATCACACTGACTCAAAATTTCAGTTTAAAGAGAGTGACTTTTTAAAGAGATCTTAATATAATATAGAGATTTATAGGTACCAGTAAGCTTTCTTTTTAAAAAACAAAGTGTGAAGCCAGGCATGGTGGTGCATGCCTTTAATACCTGCACTTGGGAGGCAGAAGCAGGCCAATCTCTATGAGATGGAGGCCAGCTTGGTCTACATAATGAATTCCAGGCCAGCAGCCATTACAGGAAGACACAATCTCAAAAAAGGAAAACAAAACAAATTTTAAAAAACCAGTGTGATGGATAATTTTTGCCAACTTGATGTTAGTAACCTAGGGTCAGAGAGAACCTCAATTGAGAAACTGATTACATCAGACTGACCTATGGCTATGAGATTGTCTTGACTGATGACTGATGTGAGAGGTACCATCCTTAGGTAGGTGGGCCGGGGCTGTATAAGAAAGTGAAGCGAGCAGTGTTCTTCCACGGTTCCTGCCCTGACTTCCCTCAATGATGGACAGTGACCTGGCAGTGTAAGATTAAATAAGCCCTTTCCTCCCCAAGTTTCTTTTGGTCATGGTGTGTCATAGCAATAGAAAAAGTAACTAGAACACAAAGTATAGAAGAGCATGTGCAGTTTGCTTGCTTTCTGTAAGGCAAACTGTATCCATCTGCTTTTGTGTAAAAAGGTACATAGAAAGAATAAGCCTGAAACAAATGTGATTGGTTATCCACAGCAGGGGGTGGGAACTGGACAGAAGAAATCAAGGGAAACTACATGGCACTAAGGATTGTCTACGAATTTGTGATTTTAAGAACTGGTCAAGTAAGTCAATATATAATGGCTAACGGGGGACCCATGTACACATGGATATACAGTGACAAGACAGAATAGGAAAAAGGACAGACTGTTGAAGAAGTGGTCCCAGGTCAACTGCATATGCCTCTGGAAAAAGTTGAAATTTGATTCCTGTCTTGTAATGTGAATCAAAGTTGGTCTAAATGTGAATGGTTAAGTTTCCAAAAGACAAACAGAAGAGTATCTTCATGATTAGAATATAAAAGTACTAACCACATAAGGAAGTATCAATGCATTCATTATACTAAAATTAAGGCATTCTGGGGCTGGAGAGATGGCTCAGTGGTTGAGAGCACTGACTGCTCTTGCAGAGGACCCGGGTACGATTCCTAGCACCCACATGGCGGCTATGAACCTTCTTTAACTCCAGTTACAGAGGCATCTGAAGGAAGCCCTCTTCTGACCTCCACGGCACTGCATGACATGGGTACACTCATATGCATGGAGGCAGTACACTCATACACATAAAATAAAAATAATAAAATATTAAAAAAGAAATTAAGGCATTCTGAGGCTGGGAATGGTGGCATGTGCCTGTGATCTCAGCATTAGGAAATGGAGGTAGGAGGATCAGGACTTCAATGACAGCCTGGGCTACATGAGTCCCTGTAACAACAAACAACAAGAAGTTATTTTCAAAGGCATCGTCAGTAAAACACGCAATAAAATGAGAGAGGATACATGCAATCATGTCAAGGCCAATTCAATACAAAAATGGGCAAGAGGCTTCATAAGTAGTTCATACAACAATAGCCACAGCATCTTATTTTGTAAAACCACGAAATGAAAACAAATAGTCATGAACAAATATTCATTACAAGTAGACTGGATAAATAACAAACTAATCTGGGGGCTGGAGAGATGGCTCAGTGGTTAAGAGCACTGACTACTCTTGCAGAGGACCCGGCTTCGATTCCCAGCACCCACATGGCAGCTATGAATTGTTCTTAACTCCAGTTCCAGGGGAATCCGAAGCCCTCTTCTGACCTCCTTGGCACTGCATGACACGGGTGCACTCACATACATGCAGGCAATACATTCATACACATAAAATAAAAAAAAATACTATTAAAAAAATAATCTGGTAAAATATTACACAGTAATAGAAATTAACAAATGATGGATATGATCAATGTCTATTGTCAGACTAAAGAACATACTCTGTTTAATATCAAGTCCCAAGCCAGGTACCCTAATTTATCATGTCAAAGACAAGAAAGGCATGGAGAAGAGCAGGGGCAGAAGGTGGACAAAGAGGTCAAATAGCTACTTTCATCTGCACTTGACATTTTAGGGCCACACATTTTACTGCTGATTTCAATATTACAAAAGCACCTTTATCAAAGTATTCCAAATAATTTTGTAGTTACTTCAAAATAATCCTTTGCAGTGATGAACCTGTGTCTCATTAATAGTATTTCCCTCACATTGCATGTAAGAATGTTAATATGGTAGTCTCTAGTCAACTAAGGAAAGCTTAAAGGTAACATACCAATTGCTATAGATCGCAGATACAGTTTCTCTGCATTTTCATATTGATTCATGTCATAATTATATAAAGACGCCAGATGTCCCACTGAAAGGGCCACTTCATAATCTTCTTGACCAAGAAGTTGCTCTTTAATCTGAATTGCTTTGATGTGCATTTCTTCAGCTTCCTGAAAAATAATCAGGCCAAATGGAACATTATACTTCTTAGGCCCACAATTCTTACTCAGTGAGCACAGTGGTTCTGTCAAAGACAACTTAGGAATGCCATGAGGTAAAGAGATCAAAGAATATACTGTGCTGTTCCAAAAGTTGCTAATAGGAAGCATTACTGGTTTTTGGAAACTGCACAAAAGCTGAGGACAGTAATGGTGTCCTAAGTCAAAGCTGACATGGGTAAACATTTAAATAACCCAAAACCTGTCAGAAAAAATTAAAAAGACATTCTAAGTCAGGTATGGTGACATAGCCCTGTAATTTCAACATTGGGGTGGCACAAAGGACTGAAGGTTTGAGGTCAGCCTGAGCTACAAAGAATAGACTGTCATAACAAAAGACATTCTAAACTGAGAATGATCTGAGTTAGTATGTCTCAAAATTAACTTAAACTTATTAAGGGGTTAATTTATATAGACATTATCTCTCTCAAAAATATAGATATTTTTGAGATAGTCTCCCTATTTATTTAGCTCAGGCTGGCATCAAAATAACAATCCCCCTGCCTCAGCCTTCCAAGTGTTAAATTTACAGGTACCATCACTCTTGGCTGAGAATCCAAAATTCTAAAAGACAATAAGGGGCAATTGTATCAGTATATTTTATAACATCTATTAATAATTATATAATTAACCCTAATTAATTATAGAATTAACTCTCTTAATAATTAATTCTAACATTACTATTATTAGCTGGCCCTTCCTCCCCGCTCCTCTCTCTCTGAGACAGGTCTTTCCCTGTAGCCCCAGCTGGCATCAATTTCACAGTGATCTCTCTACCTCTACCTCCCTAGTGCTGGGATTAAAGGCACCACACCTGGCCTCAAACTGGCATTTTTTTTTTTTTT